GAAAGAGTGAAACTGCCATTCAATTGCTGGAACAAATGTAATGTTTTGCTAAAAACTGAAAATGTTTACTCCAAAAAGTCATAAGTAATGTTGAAGCACTGCAGTTACTACAGACTGGGTAATGGAGAGCCAAGAACCTTGCCAAATCCTCACATTATGGTCCTTCTGGCTTTAGTAATCCACCTCTTTAGAGGAGAACAAAACACAAGAATTATTTTGATTTTCCTTGACTGTGTTTCTATCTTGGGCCAGGTTTATATAAAAACTATCTCTCAATACTAGTAACATTTATGATGCTTTTGATTGTGATTATCTTTATATGTGTAAAAACTCTAATGCTTTTCCTGGTTTGGATTATTTCATTCAAAGAAACAGTAATTGCTTTTTTATTTCCAGGATTAAGCGTTAGTTTAGGAAGATGAATTTGAGTATGTTAACAATGTATGTGTTTACCAACAGACTTTTTCTAGAAAAATGATAGCTCTAGTTACTTTTACAGCCTCCAGTACTACACTGGCAAAATGTTTCCGAATTGCTAATCTATTTAGCTTCACAGCACTGTCAAGTGAACTGGTAATTTGACTCCCATCCTTCTCAGAGAATGGTGACACGCACAGTCATTGAAGTCATATTTGGGCTATTTAAACTCTCTCTACATTTTAATTTAGGTGATGATAGGTATCTAAGATTCACAACACATTCCTCTGTCTCCTCAGTGGTGTCTAAAATCAGCTCACAGGCTTTCAAGCACTCTAGTCTAGGGCATCCCACAGGTTTGGGTGGCTCGGCCCCACTGAGATTAATGAAAGCTGTGAAGTTTTGCTCAACCTCTTGGAGCAGGTATGTGCTTAAAACTCAGACTACATGAATGTCAAAACTCTGTAGTGGTTAATCAGTTAGAGCATAAAGGTTAGACCTTTATCCCTATCATCAGTCAGAGTAAATCTGAACTCACAGTTTTCAACCTGAGAGCACACCCTGGCCAACAAAAGCTGTGTGGTCTCTGGGGACAAGGACCTCCCTGCAGGAGTCATGCTCTGCCATGCCAAAGCCTGGGAATGCAAAGGAAGTCTGATTTCAGGGGTAGCTTCCTTTTTGCCAAACTATAAAAAGGAAGCGTGCTGGCTTATCATGCCTGTTCCTAGGTCTGATTATACATTTTTTATGCAAGATCTACTTCACTGCCATAAAACTGAGACATATTGAGATAGGAGTTGCATGGTTTTCACTTCTGGAAGCATCCATCCGAGATGTGTTTAACACCTCTCTCCAGTAGTGAGCAGTCATGGAAGTCACATATTGCCACTGTCTAAGACACACAGCTTTGCAAAGCTCTCTCTGGCTGACTGAAACTTGTATTTTCATTGCTGTGTTGAAACTAGAGAAGACGATACACGATTCAAACCAATACCCTGGCTCACTATGCTATCTGTGTATAATGGGGTGAGGCAGACTTGAGAAAAGCCTGCCCTCCACTAGCAGGGCTGGAAAGCCAGTGTAAAATGGGTTTTAACAGATCCATGTAAGTTAGATGCCTGCAGTAGTCTATGGGAGCTCTCCAAAATCTCAGCAACTCCTGAGTGGTTCAGTAAGGCATGCTGTAGTACAGCTGGTGCCAGTCTCAGCTGGCATGGAGAATGCTGATACTATGGTGCGGTTTTGTATTGGTTTGTAGTCCCCTCTTACAGATCAGACCTGTAGAAACAGAGTGATAGCAGTGTCTCCCCACTGCAAATAACAAGATCGTATGTTGGCAGTTATAAGCTAGCTCACTACACTGTCTCTGAAGTTCATCTACGTAAAATACCGGAGTACTTCATCCAGTGTTTAAACCACTGTCTGGTGATGCTTTGTGCTATTAAGCACTTGCTGTATTTCTCAGTAGTATTGGGTAGTGTGAACTTCTAGTTTTGTATGTCTTTGTAATTGTGACTTTTTAATATTCTAAGTATTTATTTGTAAAGCTCTTTCAGTTATTAGTGCATAGAAATGTAAAATATCATATATGAGTTTATGAAAAATTGCATTAAATTATTGAGAGCAAAGATTTATTCTTGTTGTGTGTATATTTTTCCCCTCTAAGGTTCATAATAGTCCTCACTGTTATGGTTCAGTATATACTTGTCAGAGGTCCATCAGCTTATTTTTTTCAAACCAAGAAGAAATCATTATTTCAGGACATGAAGTGAGAAAAGATGGAATCAGGTAAGTGTTTTAATGGTGGGTTTGAACATTTTATAGCAAAAAAATAGTGTGGAGTTTGGGAAATTGATGCTTTTTACACCAGCCCAAGAAAATAATTTGATATATATATATTTATTGATCCCTTGCTGTTCTGTATTGTGGCTGACAGAGCTTTAGTGTGAGCAGATGTAATTGTGCTGATGTAATACCCGAGTGAGGATGAAACTGCATGGACTTTGTGTTCAACTTCTCAGCTATAACCTAACAATTATCCATCCCTACCTTGTACAGACAAAGTCAGCATCAGACAGTTCTAGCTAATCCTTGGTGCATCCTGATACCATTCTGAACAAGGCAGTTGTTATTTTTTCTTGGCAGCTATACTTAATGTAAGACATAATGTTCTTCTAGACAAGTCTGAATTGGTTGAATCAAAGATCTTAAGTCCCCTTTGCACCTTTGGAGAAAAACTCCACAGAACATCTCTGAGGTACATGAAACCCTCACATTTACCAGTATTATTTTTTTTTTAATAAGTAAAAAGAAGAGTGCAAGGCTATCATAAGTATGTTTTACTGGTTGATAAAATACAGAAAATTTCAGAGTTGTTAACGTGTTCTTGCCATCCCTTTTGATGTAACACTATAGCCATTAGGATCTGAGACTGATAGCTACAGGGATACTGTTCATCCCAGCAGCAGCAACTTTGGAATATTAGGATTAGATCCGTGCTGCAATATTATTTTCCAGATGTCTTTGGCCAAAGGAGTAAGACATATATTATTGTGGTCAATAATATTTTCTGTACAGTAAGTTTCTCCATTTTCAGACATCCAACCCAGTGATGACTCTGTGGCCAGAAGGGCTGCTGGTGGTCATACTGTCACAATAGCTCCTCGTGTAATGCAGCGTGCTCCTGAAGTCACGTATTTCTCAATGTGCCTGTGCTGGGCTGTGAAAATTAAGATTCATTATTCTTTCAGGGTTCTAATTGGTGCAACTGATAGGTGTATACAGCAGAAAAGCATTACTTTTTGATGGTTAATATACAGAAGTAAAAAGAAGAAAAGGTAGTAAAAACATGACAAGAATTAAATGGAAGTGACTGTATACACCTGGGAAAACAGGGTTAGTGAGTTAGAAGGTGATGTTTTATGTGGTATTTTTCTAGCACTAACCTAATCTCATCTGAGATCTTTGAAGAAGGCTGTTTATTTTTCCAGATTAATGTTGCCTCAGACAGTTGGAAATGCTTTCCTTGAGAGACTAGCTGACTATATTCTGGTGAAGACTACCTTTGGTTTTTCTCTTGCTTGGGATGGAAACTCTGGTGTTTACATTAAGCTGACAGAAGATCATAAGGGAAAACCCTGTGGCCTCTGTGGAAATTTTAATGGCAATAAATATGATGACCTGATACTGCAGAATAGTAAGTAAATAGCTTAGAAATACACCCTTACCTTGTGTGAATAGCTTTCATGTTCACTTTAAATATATTACTGTAAAAATACACAGTTCTGTTTCAGTTATTTCATTAGAAAACAGAGTATCTGCTTTACTCTTCCTCACCATTAAAGATGCTAAGGGAAAGGTCCTAGTTCAATAAAGTATTTGTATGTATGTTTAAGCCTTTTCTTGCTCAGCAAAGCACTTGGGGTATGTTTATCTTAGCTGATGAAAGTGCCTTCCAATAACAAATAAATAAACAAATGCTTGTGGTTTTCTCTATGTTTAAAGATGGAGGAAGAAGAAAAGCCAAAATATTAATATTTGGAAAAAGCACCATCTTGAGTCATTTGTTTATATGAGCATCATAGAATTTGCTAGTTGAAATATGTAAATTTCAAAGCTGTTGCCAGGGTGTTCCTTGTTTCTCTTTGTCAGTGTGATGTATTATGGTCCTCTGACTATGTTGTAGGATGAGGAGTTGCCCAAAGCTGCATCTGAGGCAGAGATGACTTGCTAAACTGGTAGAATATTCTGTAGTCTATGTAGGGAATACTCTACAAGGGCTTCTGTCCTACTTGCAACTTATGTGGAAGAACAAAAAAAAATAAAAATAATAAGCTTGAAAATATGAGGAATATTTTTCTCAGTCTCTGATGAAAACAAAGATAGGACTGTTTTACTGTTATGAATTGCTAAGAGAATCTATTGGCATGACCCTGCATATTCTTAAATCACAAAAGATATCTCACTGCAACTTTTTTCCCCTCCTGTTTTCCCCCATTTTTTTATGGGTCATAGTGAAGCTTTTTAACTTCCTAAGTGAAGGAAGATGCAATGTACCTATCTTTGTATAGTCTTTAAAAATCTGCCCAATATAAATTTCTCATACCTCTTCTGCCATGAGAGCAGTAAGTTCCCTGTTTCATGCATTAACTTCTGCACACCAGAGTATTTAATAAGCAGTTAAAACTGGTGATCCGTAATGATGGAGAAAAGTGGAGTTTGGAGGGGATAATGAACTCACACAATCTCCAAAAAATTGTAATTTCAGTATCTTTAAATGTATTACCTGTTATAAAACCTTCCAGCTCTTAGTTTTCTTCATTTCCAGAGTTACATTTCTTCACCATCAGCATTTCCTCTAGTATTTTTGTTTATCAGAAATTGTAGTGTTATTGTACTGTACAATTGAGAGCGCTACATCATTTTAACCTTGAACCAGTTGTATAACATGGTGCCTTGACTGTGTGCAAATACAAAGCACAAAGTTCTAATATCTTCACAAGAATAGACTGCTAATTCAAATTACTTCCAAGTATTTCCAAATCTTATAAATCAGTTGGGATGATGATTTATTTCCCCCAGATAAACTACTTCCCCCAGTAGTGTATGGGAAGCTCTTACGTCTATCCTGAGTCTTCCAGAGTCTGAATGCTCTCTATTTGCTATACTCCGAATAAACAAGTTGCTGAGGCATGTGATACTCCATTTCATAGCACAGCTTAAAAGCAAACTCCTTTTCTGTTTCCTTATCTTCATCTTTAATAACATCTTTGTATTGCTTTAATATACAAGGCTGTATCTGTGTATAGAACTATTTCAAGGACAGTTATTTTACTTTGTGGTATTTTTTGAGGACTTAGAATTTTTTTTCAAGCAATGTCAAAATGTAAATAAAATATTTTAAATATTTTTACTGAAGCAGAATTATGTCAACAGGTTTACCTCTAGATCACAATCCAGCTTTTTATGTTTGGGAAGGGATAAAGAACTATTCTGCCAGAAAGGGAGAAATGTTTTAAGTCTTTTGGCTCTTAAGTAAAATAGACCGGTAGTTAGGATCTTATCTTTGTTTATCTGGGGAGATCCAGGTAGATTATCTGATTAGTGTGCTTTGGGGATTTCCACATTGCAGTGTCAAACTTTGTACATCTTGTGCTAGAAGTTAGATTAAGTTTGGGATGTGAAAAAAACTGTATCTGATTTCATTTCAATACCCTGTCTCCTAACTATGCGTAGATATGGATAACTGTAGCACAGATACCAGTTACTGTAAGGTTCTTCAAGTTAGAGGCAATATACCCTTTAAAACATACTCAAAAACATAGAGAAAATGTAATATTTAGTTCTTGCTGCAAAAATATGGAAATTTTTGAGTCTGTTTCTTTACTGTCAACTTCCTTGTATGTTCATGTATCTTCCTCAGCCTGTTGCCATGACTTCCAGTCATGCATCTCGTTCATTAATTCTCCCACGCTCATGCTGTGAGGAGTGCTGGGCATGTAGTGGTGTGTTTGTTGTAGGGCTTTTCTGCAACAGGGGAAAAGGAAGAAGATAATAGTGCTAACAAACCTTTGTGAAACATGATGAAATTGTTTCTTTAAAACAATTTCAGTTTTAAGGAAATGTATTTTTTCTTAAGTATTCAATGCATTACATTTGACATTATTTATAAATTTGTTATAAAATTCTCAGTAACTTCACTTAAAAAAACCCCCAACCGACACCTTGTAGTATATTTTTTTAATATTTTGATTTAAATGTAGTATAAAATACTACCCGAGATTAAAAAAGAAAAACAACATTTTCCTATACCACCTGTACTCTCAGCATACCTATAAATGAGGTAATGGATACATTGAAAAACTACTGGAAATTTCCAAGCTCTCTTCTGTGTTTGTGTTGACAACGTTTTTTTCCTGGATGCTCTTCCAATGTTTTCATGCAGTAGGTGAATATACAGAAGACATTGCTGAATTTGCAAATAGCTGGGCTGTGCAAACCTCAGCTGACATAGCTTGTGTACCTACTGCCTCAGATTTTTCCAGTCCTTGCTCAGCTGATGCAGAATCCACTGAGGTAAATTAATCATATTATATTTTTATATGTGTGTGTATATATATATGTATTTGTTCTTAATCTTCACTGCCTAGTGATGGTACAAGAATCTAGCAATATACATTATGTTGAAAAAAGCCTTAAATGCATCGAGGCTTTGAGAAAGGGAAGATTCAGATCAGGACTGTTGCTAGGGAATGTCGGAAGATCTTCAGATGTTTCACTTAAAAGTACAAAGGCTCAGATAGGGTGTGCCAAGCGACACAGGTCTGCTGGCAGAGCGCTTCATTGCTGCATTAAACTTGGGTCCAGTTTCCAGTCCTGGCATCTCACACCTCATTATTTTGGAAATTGTGAAATACTGCAGAAGTAACATGCTCAGCTTCTGCATTGACACAAAATGCATTTTTTGTCATTTCACATTCTTTCATCCCAACTGGTTTAGGAGCAGCATGCAATCAAGCCAGCCTAGGCAGAGAGGACAACTTTTAGGAAGAATAATAAAGGAGACACTTTAATAAATTGAGACTGTGAGATTCTCAAGTTTTAATGGGAATATAAGAGATCCTACATTAGGGAAACAAAACTAAAAAGAATTATGTTTGTTCAGAAGTTATTTGCTAACTGTTACTTACTGATTCTCCTAATGCACAGGACATATTCTTCAAGTGCCAAATATTCCTACAGTTTCCTTTTCTCAGCTGTCATGAAAGCATAGATCCATATTCTTATATTTCTAGCTGCATGAATGATCTTTGCAGGTAAGACTGGAGTTCTTGTGTATTTATTTTTGACACGTGAAATTAATGTTCAGTCTTTGTTTTGAGACCACAACTGAGCAGCGTTGTGGGAAGTTAGGAGGAACCAAGTTCAAAGTGAAAGAGATGGGGTTTCTCAATGGGTGATTTTGTGTGGAAACAAAGGGCACAGAACCAGTCTGTCAAGCTATATTTTGGTTGTTAAACGTTTACATGAATTCAAGGATCTACTAGACAAACCCATGGAAGAGAAATCCGTGGAGAATCACTAATGACAAAAAAGGAGCTGGTAATCACAAAAAACCCGAAACCCATGTCAGGTCCCGAGTCAAAAATACATGGAGATTGGAATGATACTATGGGGAAATATCAATGATACTGGAGGCGCTGTACCATTTATCTGACACAGTTAGACTGTTTTTATGAACAACCACCATGGTTCAAATTAGTAGAATTTTTCAAAAATTGTTTTATTTATGTAAATTCAGAGTTGTCAAAAGAAACTCAACTCTCATTGTCTTTGGTGGCAGTTACACTTCCTCAGCTGCTGGCACTATATACAACCTGGTATTTTTGCCTTAGCTCTTCAGATTCTTGTTTAGTTCTTGTCAGTCACTCATGTTAGACTGGTGCTCCATAGTGTAACTGATGACTGAGCAGTCTATCGCTTCCTTTTTAGTAGGGTTTTTAAATTAACAAGTAATTGTCATAAATAACAGGATTTTTACCAGAGACCATTATGGTGTTTTCAGAGTATCACCAATTTAATAAAAAAATATACAGAAAGGATCACAAGACTAAAAGTAAAAATCACTCAATAGCATCCATTAAAACTTGTTAGTTAATTTTTGATGAATTTTTAGTTTTCTGCTTTATCATCAAGACAATATAGAAGAATTTTTGTTTGTAGGCAGATCTCCAAATTGTGCTTCCTGAAGTTTATGATCTGTACATTGATTTTGCTCAGAGAAGAGATGAGTTGCGTCTGCATGATCTCTTTGTAACTCAGGAGTTTGTCGTCACTTTTTCTTAGCGAAAGAAAAATAATGAAAAGCAAATTTTCAAATGTGATATTGAATTAGTGTAATTTGTTAAGGTGGATTTGATTTTTATCAACATGCTTATGTTGCCGATGTGAATTGTGTGAACGTTAAAAACCTTGAAGGAAGTTTCTGTGTCTCTGAATCTCATTAATTTAGGCTCATTTTGTTTATAAAAGAAACCTCTCTTCTTGTGGCTTAGTGTCAGTTTATGAAGTTTCTTGTGGGGCCATAGTCTATGCCAAGTATTCTTTCTATTAAGACCCATTTAATTGGATTAGATGAGAGCTGGAGAGACTCTGATCGCTGTAACAAAGAGTATAGTGGTGTTTGATTTGATAACAGATGTGTTGAAAGCAGCATACAATGCAATATAATATATTCTTAAGACCATTATTTTTGGAAGCATGATCTTGTGTGCTGAAAGACAAACCCAGCTGATCTGTCACAGTCATGCTTATAATAGAAATGTTGTGTTATGACTAGTTAATTTTGGCATCAAGTCCTCCATACTGAGTGATGGGAGTTGTTGGACTTTCACAGTAAAAAAGGTTGGTGGTATCTCACCTTATGTGACTGACATCTGAATAAAATTTTAGCTTACCTAAACACTGATGAAAGTCTCTTTACTTGATCCTGGCAAAAGTGCACTGTACAGCTTCTGTATATAGACTGTTACTAGAGGTAATGTCCTTGTCCAAGGTTGCGCTGTAAATCCCTGAGCCTGTCTACAGAATTCAGTGAATAATACTTCTGGTGCCAGGCACTTCAGCACAAGGTCAGGAGTCTACCAACAAGGTTCTTCTTGCCTAAGTTCAAGGACTGACAGGCAGTTGGAAACTTGAACTTGTTACTTGGACCAGAATGTCTTTTATTGGTATAGGTCAGAGTTTCCACCTTATGCAGGAGGGAGAGGGCCTGAGATGTGGATCTTGAGACTGTTGTCTTTTGTCTTCAAGACAAGGTTATGTTTCTCTTTCACCATAAGCAGCATTTATCTTTTTAATAATGAATTTGTGGTTTTGTTTGTTTTGGTAATATTAAAATGAAATAACTTTTTTGTGAGGTCAAATGATAAAAACACAACAGTGTATTCAGTATAGCTCATTTCTTTTCATAGTATTTTCACTGTGTGCCATTATGACTGAGTGGTGTCAGCTACGTGTGAAGTATTCTATGCAGTGTCCTGTGGCAGAGATTTGTAGGTGGGATTTGAGTTCCTTGATTACTCTCTTGTTTTATCATTTCAGAGTGGATGATGATGAAACATACTGCAGGGCGGTGACAGAGTACGCTAGAGCATGCTCTCATGCTGGGTCCCCGGTGCGGGACTGGAGAGATGACTTTCCTGCTTGTAGTAAGACTCTTTAATAAAGCATACCATGTGACCTTTGAAATACCCCATGTATTCATTTCAAATAATTCCATCTCGACAGCATTTGTCAGTATAGGACTCAAACCTGATTCTGAAGTAGATCAGCCAGCTTCATTATTGCTAGTGAACAATTAAGTCAATGACTTGCTAGAGGAATACTTTAATTCCATTGTGATCTGATCTAGATCCATACAAAATTCATGCTTCCACTGCTTGCTTGAAACATCATGTGTACTAATCATATTCTAGGGCAAAGACCAAACATCTGTGGAGATCTGATGTTGCCCCTCTTCCCAGATGACCTTTTAACCTCTACTGGCCCTGTCACAGAATTAATACAGTTAATCCAGCTCCTTCTAGTTACCACCACCCATCAATTGCCATTCAGTCTCATGCACAAGAGTTTGAACTAGCTGAAACATGAGCACATGTTCCCCTGTCACAGAAACTATAACTTCTTTTGGAGAGGTGATGTAAGAATTTGTTAAAGAAAGACTTAAATCCTGCTGAGAGATTCACCACAGTTCATCAGTTAAAATCTCTCCAAACAATCCACTGTACCTGGTCTGAATAATTACCTATACCAGAAGTGCTGCACAAATGTTTATTTGAGAGAGAGAGGTTCTCTAGTATGGAAAGAGAAATTGCACTAATATTCAATGTACCATGTATTTTTTCTAGCTGAGAAGTGTGAAGACAGCTTTGTACACCGTGATTGTATCAGTTGTTGTCCACCAACCTGCACATTTGAAAAAGATTGTCTTGGCAGCAACCTACACTGCTTAGATGGCTGTTACTGTCCAGATGGTAAGTACTGTCAATTTTATGTGAAAAAGTATGTGTAAAGCTAATATCCAGCATCATAATAAAGTTGTCTAAATAGACTGTGCCTAAAGTTAAAGCCTGTAAATATGAATAGTGTAAATTCTGCTCTAGCTGTTGTAATGTTCATTTTGATTCTTCCTTTTATTGTGTTCTAAACACTTCTCTAGAATACAAAGGTAGCTTAGAATGAAATATCAGTTAAAATTAGAAGCCATCACTAGTGCTTGCTGCAGTAAGATATTGCATAGATTTAATCCACTTTATTTGAATTATTCCAAAATCAACAGAGGTTTTGTTTGAACAGAATGTGTCTTATACTCTGTGCAAGAAAACAAAATTCCTGAGACCTGTGCTCAATGAAAATTAAGGATTGGACCAAAACCACCCCTGTTCTAGAAGGATTAAAGTTTATGTGATCTCAGAATCTTATGATTTTTGAGTCTGTACAGTTTTACATGCTTAAGGCAGACATTTTTCATAAAGCAACTATTCAAAGTGACAACTGTTTTGAGAGAGCCTCACTGTTCATCACTCTGACCACTCTGAACTCACTGGGTGACTCTTTTTGCTGGTTAAGACTGGTGAGATCACCTTCTGTCAGATTTGAATGTTTTAGTCAGATGGGGGAAGAGCAGTGATCCAGAGTTTGTTAATTTGTTTTTTACCTCATTTATTAACTTCCCTCCCAATAGGTCTCATTATGGAAAATGGAACTTGCATCTCTGTGTCGAATTGTCCTTGTACTTATCATGGAACTGCCTTCCCTGTAGGCTCAAAAATTGAACAAGAATGTAGCAACTGGTATGTGAAAGCCTCATGTCTGTGTTTCCTCTCTCTGTGACTGCTGCACATAGTTAGTTTAACATTATAGTCACACTTGCATTTTAAAGAATAGTTAGTACCAATGTTTTGCAGTTTGGGCCCTGTGTATCACTAAAATATGCAGGCTATTCTATGGAAAGGGTCAATTCAAGACATATTAATTAGCTCAAGGCTGCTCTTTTTGCTAAAGATCAGAACACTGAATTTCTGTGGTTTGTGATTTTTCTTTTTAGTGTTTGCACTGGTGGTATTTGGAACTGCACTGATCATGATTGCCCAGGTATTTGTATTTCATTATTCTTTTCTCTCCTCAGTGAACATAAGTTATAAACTTTTCAGAAGACACCAGAACCAAATATGATCCAAGGGCTTGGCATGTTAATTTAAGAAGAAAGATTAAGCAGATGGATGTTGAGAGTAGCAGGGGACCAGCTGGGGTGAAGCTGTTAACTTCCTGACCATATTCACCTTACCTCTTTTCGTTTGCTTCCCTAATTCAGTGTGTTACGCCCACTTCTTGTCGTCTATCTCCTGTTTATGCCCTATGTTCATTGGGGCAGGTGGCTTATTTCTACTGCCTGTGCAGTACCGAGGCCAGGTATAAGGATCTCCTCATTTCTAGGTGCAATTGTAATGCAAATAATAAGAAAAACATAATTCCGATGCTCAGTGTGCTGTATTTTCTCCCTTGTAACAGTAGCTCATGTTTGGATAATGATCCTTATCTTTAAAGATTACATGTCTCTGTAATGAGTTACTCAGAGGAACATGCAGTAGTCAGGTAGTGAAACTCCCTTGACAGTTCTGTATTTTAGACAAGATTATACTATGAAACTTGTGAAAGAGGCCCCCTCTGAATGAGGTAATAAACCAGCAGGTTATTAGCAGCAGGTTAAAGGAGGTGATTCTCCCCCTCTACTCTGCTCTTGTGAGACTTTATCTGGAGTACTGCGTCCAGGTCTGGGCCCCCTAGTGCAGGAAGGACGTCAAGCTGTTGGAGCAGGTCCAGAGGAGGGCCACGAAAATGATCAGAGTTCTGGAACACCTCCCCTATGAGGACAGGCTGAGAGTTGGGGTTGGTCCGCCTGAAGAAAAGAAGGCTCCGAGGAGGCATTATAGCAGCCTTACAGTACTTAAAGGGGGCCTACAGGAGAGATGGGGAGGCACTTTTTATCAGGGAGTGCAGTGAGAGGACAAGGGGTAACAATTTTAAGCTGAAAGAGAGTAGATTTAGATTGGATATTAGGAAGAAATTTTTCTCTGTGAGGGTGTGAGACACTGGAACAGGTTGCCCAGAGAAGCTGTGGGTGCCCCATCCCTGGAGGCGTTCAAGGCCAGGCTGGATGAGGCTTTGAGCAACCTGGTCTAGTGGAGCGTGTCCCTGCCCGTAGCAGGGGTCCTGGAACTCGATGATCTTTAAGGTCTTTCCAACCCAAACCATTCTATGATTCTATGATTCTAAGGTTTGACAGTTACTAAGCAAGGCTTCACAGGGTGGATCTGTAGTGTAAAACAGTTGACGCTGATAACCACTCCACAGATCTTGTGTGTGGTGTGTATGCATGTGAGGGGTTAATTATGACTAGTCTAGTCTGGCCTTAGGGACTGAGTGCCTGTTAGTAGCAGGAGCAGATTAGGTGTGCTCCCACAGAGCACCTCCTGCAGTAGTTGCAGCAAAAATGAATCTAGTTCATGTGCTCTGACACTGCCTCATGGTGCGAATGAAAGTGCAGTAAAGTGGGGAGGCGCTGGAGACTTGCTTCAACAGTACACTCCTGAGCTAAACTGAAAAACGAATATAAAATGAATATAGATGCACCCTGAGGACAGAAACTTGCAGCCTCTTCATAGCTATGATAACAAGCAGTGCCATAGTACGTAGAAGGTACTCCCAGAAGGAAGGAGAAAGAAGCTTGTCCTCTTTCACACTCAGTCAAACAACGCCAAAAGATGATGAGGAACAAGATTCTAGGAAACTTCAGAGTTATAATAAAGATAAAGCTCTTTTGTATTTTAGGAGAACGCGTGATTCAAAGGCATCTCATCTAGTTAGAACCAAAAGATGCTGCATACCAGTATGTACAACATGAGATGGTATCTGATGGAAATAGGTGTATGTAACATATTTTATTTCCAAATGCCAGGAAGGCTAGATAGATTCAAGTTAGCCTGGATTATGTGCTTAGAAATAAGTAGAAAGTTTCTTATTTGTCTCTCTTAAATCATTTACAGAATAGTGATACATTCTTATGCAAGTGAACATTCTTGTTTACCCTTTTTCTCTCAAGCTGAGTGCTCCATCACAGGTAGCTCTCATTTCACAACATTTGATGGACGTCATTTTACTTTTCTTGGGATATGCCAGTACATTTTGGTAAAAGGCACTGGGAAAAACAAATTCACAATCACTTTACAGAAAGCACCTTGTGGACAGGTAAGTCATATTTTTGTTGAACATTCACAACAAAAGGGTACATCCATATTTCAGGCAATCTTGTATAGGTTCTATGGCAAACTACCAGGTTATGTTTAACAGAAAAATATCATAAATTGAAACCATTTTACAGCTCTTTTGTAAGTGGTTGCATTGCTACATGTTGTGTTGCCCTTGGTAAAATCAATTGCATCTTTAGAGGGATAAATTCTAAAGAATTATTCATTTATGCACATTAAACAAGCATATACATCTTTGGTTATGGTACAAACAAGTGCCTTAGGCTTTAGAAAAGCTCTTGCTGGAAGCACTGAAGAGGTTTACTACATGGATAGTCAGGGAAGATATTTTTTTGATAGCTTTAGATTTTTATTTGATATATTGTAACATATTTCATTTGTTTGAACATTGCCTTTTAGAAAACTATTGAAGAGACTAGCCACCATGCATATTTGTTTGAAAGTATTTTTGCAGGTATCCAACAACAGGCTTTATGAATAGGGATGCTTATAAAAAGTATTTATTGGTGAGACTGGATTTAATGATGTTATTATTCCCCTAGGCTCTCAGGATAAGGGTCTCTGAGACTGTGACTCACAGCCACCTATGTGCTGAGGGCTAGGATGCTTGAACTCATCAGCAGGGTGTGACACACTGAAGCTGCCCTACTATGGGACTGTCTCTCATGTCCCTTCGAAAGCTAGATTTTGAGCTGGTGCCTCTGCTTTTTTGTAGGCATCTCCTTCTCCGGCATAGGTGTTGAAATTCCTGTTTCTGCATTTCACGTGTCTTCAAGCATGAAATAATTGGTTGGGTAGCCACTGAGAGACAAGGATACTACTGGGAATTACCCTTAGCAAAACTCTAGGCACTTTGGAAAGTTCCTGGGTGAAAACATGAGGACCCTGGGGAGCATAGGATGCTTGGTTTAAGCTGGTTATATGTCACCTTTTGTCCTGTACTTAGGTTCATAAACTCTGCCTGGATAGCACTTTAAAATGACGGGTGTGAGTTAGTTTATAAGTCACCCTTTTTTTGATACTCAGATATTTATAAATTATTTTAGTATAATTCTGGAGGAATTATATCCTTTTATCTGCAATCACAGATCAAGACTAGGTGTCAATGTGGAAGAGAAACACCTGAATGTGTACAATAGTTCCTTTCTCCTGCATCACTGCATTTGGGCTCTGGTTGCACCAGCTTGATGTAGACAGGGTCAGACTCTTGCTCAAACACTGGTTAACCCAACGATGAGGAGTACCCAGGGTGACCATGCAAGGCCATGGCCTTTTGAATCAGTATTTCAGTATCAGTACTTGAGAGCCTCTGCCCACTTACTACTAGACTGCCATAATAGCTAAAATGCATTCTCCTTGCTCTTACAATCATATGCAATGTTTTATTATTTTCTGTATACAATTTCAGGTGCTTTGTTTAAAGCTTTGAGTGATAGTTTATAACTGATTTACGTGATAGTTCTGGCATTTCATTTCTATACAACTGTTTTTCCCCCTGTTTGTTTGTTTTTGCTTTCCATGCTAATATTAATGTATTTTCCTGTTTCTGATGGTGAAACTTGTTTCTGCTTAGAACTTTGACCACACCTGCATTGAGTCTATAACACTAGTTCTTGAAGATGATGTGAGCAAACAAGTTACTCTCACAAGATATGGTCAAGTCCAAAGTGGTCCTAACCAAGCTTTTAACCTTAATGGTAAGAAGTGCATGGAGTAGAATTTTACCAGGGTTAACATTCTTTCTTTTATAAGTTCCAAAACTTTTCAATAGTATCTGTCTATGAAAAAAGAATTTCTTCAAACATAACTTATGGAATGTACAATCATTTACTTCTTATTAGTAATGGTTCTAGAATGTACTTTTTCCACCTGTGAAATAGTCTTTCATTATGCCTTCACTTCTTTGCATTTCTTATCTTGCAGAGCACCTCGAAATTCCACTAATTTTATTTGTATTTAGGGAGGAGGAGGTAAAAAAAGAAAGGGAGGTGAAGAGAGGTTGGAAATCATCTTGATGCCGACGTTAAGGTCTAGTTGATTAAAGCGTTTTGGAAAAAATGGCATGGACTAGAATCCATGTGGTTTTATGGGATCTATGTTGCTTTCAGTGCTGACTTACCTTGTGATTTCAGGCAGATCACTTCACCTTTTTAGAAAGAACAGTAAGATAAATCAACCTTAAAAGGATGTTATAAAGTTAAGCACTGTAGGTGGAAACGATATTGCTAAATTTCATATCTTACAGTGATCAGTAGTAAATTCTTACTGGATTTTTAGTCTCTTTCAGTAAGAGTGAAGTTGTAGTTCCCCTCTCCTTTCCCAGTCTTTGGCAAAACAGAGCTTAGGGCTCTAACAGAGCTGTGTTGGTGCTTGCAGCTATGTCTTTTTTTATTGAATTTTTCCTGTTGCAGTTCTGCTTTAGGCATTTGCAGCTTCGTATGGCAATGAGTTTCATAGCTCGGTTGTACTTGCAGTTATGTTGAAATTTCTGCTTCATCATTTCATCGATAATTTCATTTTATGTCTTTTGAATGAGCCCCTATTCACTTTCTTGTCTCCTTTCGTAGTCTGTGACAGCTGTAATCTATGACAAATATTTTGATGTCACATTCTTGATAATTGGGCATTATCTATTATGTCTTATCAACTAAGAACATCTTTAATCTCCCATAAGCATTTTATCTGCCTCTTCTCAGTTTATGCAGCTCAGTGTGTGTGTGCATGCGTAGAGGCTGCTTGTGAAGGTAGATCTGCTTTAAGCCTGTAGCTGCAAGTAGCCCAACAATGTGCAGCAAATGAATTCTGTGACTGTGAAATTTCCATTTCCTCACATAATGGATTTGCTAGGAAGGAAAGCTGGGAATGTGATAGGGCCTTAGTTCACATATAGTCTAAGGAAAGAACTACACTGGTGTCATATCAATAGTAGTAAGAGAGGACCTTAAATCTGAAGATTGCAATACAGTTTACAGACATCCTTTAATAAATCTTATAACATCTCTGGGGGCTAAGAAACAAGTGGTTTCTTGTCTTGTCTTCTTATTGCCAGAGGAATGCGCTTGCATTACTTTCTTCTAAAAGAAAAAAAAATGTGAGAGGGGTTTCTGGAGAACTCACAGGCACAGAAAAGTGAGAGATTTCTTAATGTTGTCAGTAGGTGCAACTCCTGATTTGCATTGTTAATGAAGAAGATATGTAGTTTCATAAATTCAGATGGAGAATGGGTGAGGTTATTGGGCTGCATGTGAGGTTGTGCATAGTTTCTCATTTTATTTCTGAGTTTCCAAAATTTATTTTGGTTAAGGGGTACATCGATGCAACCTGAAAGTTGCATTTCAGTGACTTTTTTTTTTACTATATGCAGGGGCCATTGAAATTCAGAATATATCTTCTTTGTTCACTCAACTGAAAACTAGTTTTGGTTTGAAGATACTGTTTGCTAAAGACGGAGAGAGGATCTATGTTCAAGTTGAAGTCAGCTGGAAGAAAAGAACATTGGGACTATGCGGAACATACAACGGGAATTTAAGAGATGATTTTCTGTAAGTTGCATATTGTATCTTTAGATTGTGTTTAATAACAAGTGTAAAGTTTTGTTGAATGTATTAATCTGATTATTTAATTTCATTAATGTGCTCATACTTTATTAACTAATCAATACAAAATAATTAAAATGTTAGTCACTTTTAAAAATATGAAACTCATAAATGTAGCTAAGACATTCTAAGATGTTCAGCTAAGTTACTCTAGAAAATTACCATATTATTTATAGAAGTCATTGGATGATAATATTGCTTGAATGCACTTCTTTTCCTCCCTGCTGGTCCCTTGCCATCAGAGCAAACACATGAGCACTGACAGAAAGAGTGGATGATAATACTAGTAGCATCTTGATTAACACTTACTACTGCTTGATTTTTCTCCCTATAATTTTTCATAGAAAAAAAATTTAATTCTGAACCACGGGCATAGTTTAAGTAGAAGAGCACACTTTCCTTGTTCTTTGAATTCATTTCCTTTAAAGTTCCTCAAGCTATAATACCACAAAACTTTTCTAGCAATAATAAATGCTTTTTACATACTTGGTGAAAAACAGCATCAAAATGCAAACAGCCCCCCTCTAGAATACTGAAAGTAGCTAACAGGTCAAATTTTTGACATTTCACTGAATGTATGTACTTGAGAAAAGGCCAAATTCTGCTCTCATTAATGCCTCCTCCAACTGATTTTAGAGTACTTGAATTAATCATAACTGAGGACAGACTTTGAATGTAAGAATATTTTTGCATGAGTAAAATATTGAGGAAAAAGCTTCACATGCCCTCTCTTATACCTCACAGATGGAAATTCTTTTGACATCTTGAATGTTCAATGTGACTATGCTTGTAAGCCTTTTTGATATACTTGTGTCTTCACCTATGTAGTCCATAAAGTCAGCAGGACACTTGGAGTGTTGATCTTTTCCTTTTCAGTTCTCCTGCAGGGATGATAGAAGGCACCCCACAACTTCATGCCAATGCATGGAAGGTTTCCTCAGCTTGTTCTGTGCCTATCAATATTCCTGTGGCTGATCCCTGCAACATTAATCAGCAAAATGGTATGTTTTCACATGGGAGTCTGGAATTAGATGTATCTTATTATTACAGGATATTTTTGTTTTCTCTGTGAATGAGTTGCACATACATGTATTTCAACTTCAGTTTTAAATGTGCACTCTTTCTTTCCTTCTACTTTTTTTTTTTTTTTTTTTTGGCAAAAACCATTCTTCCCATACATTTAGCATGTAAAATTAATTAAGTCCTTTGTAAATACGAGCTAGTTGATCATTTAAAGCTGGGTGTGATGCACGTTTGCAGTTTGACAAAGAAAGTACAGGAGGAAGTGTCTTGCTGACACTGTGTTTAGATCAAAAGTCCTCTGTCTTTTCTAAGCTTGTTGCATTACAAGTTTTCTTATCCTCCATCTATGCTCTCTGACACAAACTGATGGAAATAATCTGATGCAAACAATCTGAGATCCATGGATTTGTTCAAATTTCTGAGTAAAGATTTAGTTTTGGTTGGTTGGCATGTCTATGTTTTGTGTTGAACTTTCACTGTCTCCTCCTTTCCATGCTGCTGTTCTTTTCAATTAATGAAGACAATGAGCAAACAGTAGTTGCCAATTCTGACAGAATTTAGTCTAATGTTTTTAATGTTGCAGACATAAGGCCTCACTAAGGATGTGGTATTTGGCCATATTTAGGGCCTGTGGGAGCAAGCCTAGAATAACCATAAACCTTTAAGAATCTGGGGCATTCTAAGACTTTTTATGCCTTCAGCATTGTCTGTCTTTTAAAGTAGTACATCTCATCTCTCTCAAAGATATTTCATGCCTCACCTTCAGTTCTGTGCTTCTTCAGTGAAGGTGGAGTTTGACATAAACATAATCTGCTTAGAGCAGGAGGGTGGACTAAATGACCTTCTGAGGTCCCTTCCAGCTGGAATTTTCCTATGATCCAGTAATCCTGGAAAAAGCAGTCCCTGAGTAAGAGGTCCTGCTCCATGCTGCCAGTTGTGCTGAGCCAGTGCAAGCATTTTTCTGTGCCTGTAATGATCTTAATCTGCTGAAACTGAAAAATAAATTATTGTTTGTTTACTTATTTTGTCAAGTTACTTTCAACCAAGTCAAGTTCACTCCTTAAATCTAGTTTACTGAGAGACTCCAGAAATCCTTGTGTCAGTGTGTGTATGTGGGAATGAATAGCAAGGATGAAGGGTAGGGACATCCTTTTAGCAGCAAAATTGGCTTAAATATGATCCATGCTATGTTCCCGAGATATTCCACCACTTGTGGTTGTAGTATGCTTCAGTGGTAGGAGGAGGGTCTGTTTGCACTAGAAGGTAAATGGCCAGCTTGGGACTTGCGTGCCCTTGAGTTCAGTTGGCAAAGCTTCCTGAGTCCACATGCCAAGAAGTATATGGCCATTGCTGATTTCAAAGCTAAATGAAACATCAAGTAGGAAAAAACATATTCCAAGCTTTGGAGGACTCTTCTAACTAACTCTTTTGAAATATATTATTTTCCCATTTAAGTTTCCTGCACTACTAGAGGAAGGGATAACTGGTTTTATACAGCTATTTTTATCTTAAGTGGAATTTATTTTTGAGTTATCTGCTTACAATATCAGCTTTAAACTATAGAACTTTACAGAAATAGAACTTTACAGAAAGACATTGTATTCAAGTTTTTGTTGAACAACTGGCTATATTTGGTTTTATTATTCTGTGCTATTCATTTGACTAACTTATTTTAAAATTGATCTGTCTAAAACAACATCACCTTCTCTTAGCTGGGTATGCATCTCACTGTGATATCATCAATCAAGAGGTTTTTGCTCCTTGCCATGCCTACATCAGTCCAGGATTATACTACCAGCAATGCCGCTTTGACGCATGCAAATGTGGAAGCAGCTGTTTGTGTAATGCTCTGGCACACTATGCATACATCTGTGGCAAGCATGGGGTCATTGTTGACTTCAGATCTCATATTTCTTACTGTGGTGAGTAAAGTTTGCAGAATAGAGTATCTTTTAGAAATGTGTAAAATTCTACAAGTATCATTCACTCCACAAAATACAGGCATTGACCTTTTTTTGCTGGAAACTAGAATTGTGCCATGAGCTAATGATGTACTCAGGGGAGAATGCTTATAGCCTTTACATTAGGCATCTGAGTCAGAGACCCTGAGCTGCCCCACACGGGTGCCTGTCTCTTTCCGTTGGCTACAGACAGAATTTAAATTTCTGACTTTGAACCCCTAAGTCATATTGGAAGCCCTATTAGGTTAACATAATCAGAGAGTGGCAGAAGTAGGGCTGTTCCCTAAAGGAAGGCAAGCTGGGGTGGCAGCAGCTCCCTGTGGTGAGCAGAGCAGGGGGGGGCAGTGATTCACCAAGTAGGATATAGCAATGAATTAAAACAAAGCATTTCTAAACCATGGAGTAATGCCTCAACCTTAACTGGACCATTCTTCCTCTCTTGGAACACCTACCACACATGCACACATGCACGCATACTTAATATATACAAAGAATAGACACCTACTGCAAAGTAGACAATTCCAACCAAGGAATTTTCTAACATAAATACACCTGAATCTACACATTCATAACTTGAGAAATCACTAATATAGCGTATATTTCTCATGCATTTTAACTCACCCCAGTGCAGCAAGAGACCATTTTACTTTGGTGTTTTGCACTCCCATGATATATTGCTTTGTTTTCTATTTTTCACATTTTGAGAGTATGTTATTCTCCCTTTTCCCTCTCTCTCCTCCAGCTGTGATGTGTCACAGTGGTATGCTTTATCATCAGTGCTCTTCTTTTTGTAAACACTCCTGTGCTTCACTTTCTATGGCAAATATCTGTGGTGATGACTGTGCAGAAGGATGTAATTGTCCTGATGGGAAATATTTTGAAGAGTCAGTCAACTTTTGTGTACCAATGTAAGTCATAAGAAAAGAGAATATATGTGTAGGTACATTCTTCTCTTTCCAGCCAGATTTAAAGTCGTTTTTCTGCTGTTCACCTCAAGATGTAGACTGCTTAAACAGGATAGCAAGCAATATGTGAAGATTTCATATCCTTTTGTACTAATACTGGGCCTCATCTGCTACTGTGTGTACAGTCATCTACTGCACTTCAGAGAAGATATGCCATGCTGCTTTAAAGAGGGTTGATGAAACTTTTTTAATTCATGGGAAAGCATTGTTTTTAACACTTAAGAAAAAATGAGAAGGAATCTATGTAGTAGCAATCCATAAAGTCAAGGATAGTACGGAGAGTGGCTAGTGGTGGTTTATTTTCTGTCTCACAATGCAAAATCCTTCAGTTAAATGGTAGGAAACGGTCAATGAAAGGAAATAGTTTTTGTACACTGTGTACCAAAATTTTACACCTTGCCACCATGGGGAGTTACTGAGTTCAGATACTGAATTAAAAACTGGAATGAGTATTGATAGAAATTTCAAAATTATACAGAGTTATTGCTGTTTATTGTGACATGTATTTTGGAAAGATCAGTAAAGTTCATACTGTAGGAATAAAAACTGTTTCAAACTATTAAAGACTGTGATGTAACTTGATATTCACATATTTTTGCGTGGTTTCTAAGGAATTCTGTTGCTTCTTCTATCCCATTTGGCTCTCATCACAGACAGAGTTAATGGATTTTGCTATGATAGTTACTCTGTCCCATTATTTTGACAGTAATTTGAATGGGAACTACATGTTGCCATACTACTTGCATAAGTGGGAAGAAAGTTCTTTTCCATAAGACCAATGCACAGAAACAGCAAATAAATAATACAGATATTAAGGAAAATCCTGTCTTTGTTGAAGACGGTAGGAGTTTTCCACTGCCTTCAGTAAAGTCAGTGTCATCCTTTAGTTTTTGTCTTTAGAAGTATATTGTAAATATAAAGATGGCGTTAATTAATTGGACTGCTTATCATAATAGCTTGCTAAATGGATTGTCCTTAAATCCCGTTTCATCTTGCTTTTGTATCTACATGCATAAATATTCTTTTAACAGATCTGCTTGTCATTGTCATTACAAGGGCAAAGCCCTCCAGCCTGGAGAAATCCTCCCTACGTCAAGAGGCTCCTGGTAGGTTTGAGCGCCAAGAGTTTTATCTTTTATGTATCACAGTTTGGATGCTACTCAAGAGCCCTGAGAATTTTTTCACATAGAATGAAGGTCTATTGTATCAAGATTTTATGTTACACTTTTAGTAAGAGGGAGTCAAATACAAATTGGACTACATACCTGCATACATTTTAACAATAGGATAGCTGGAAAATTCTGTAAACTAGTAAAGAGTATCTTAAACCACATGCATGGATGTTGCAGTCCTGTTCTTAGACCTGGAGGTGTTATGATAGCAACATGACACCAGTTTCCAAAGAATAAGCAATGTGATTCTATTTTGGAAAGTCTTTCAAACAAAGGCTTGCAGGGAGCTATATTTGTGTCATTTTGTATTATTAATTCATTATGGAACCTTGACCTTGCTGAAACAACTGGGGAAACTTCCCAGATTTCCTGGTCAAACGTTCATTTTAAAAGAAATGCTCTCAACCTGCTAATTTAAAATCATGTCTGTGACTTGAGTGTCAAGGTTGGCTCTTGCCAAGGCCTTTATATAGTTATAACTGAAGCTTGGTAATCATGTAGCTGAAGAGGGGAGAGTAGGGCTTAATTCTTCTGCCATTGCTATGCCTCTCCAATGCTCTATTTTTTTTTTTTTTTTTTTTTTTTTTTTTTTTTTTTTTTTTTTAAGGAAGAGGTTAAGATTCTAAGAAAGAGGTTAAAAGATTGTGTTGTGTTGCCATTTTTAACATGGTGGATACAAAATATTTGCCCCTTGAATAAAGATGGGTTTGCTTTTCTTTTTACCAGTCAGTGTTTGAATGGAACAGTGAAATGTATTGAGGCCACTACAGAAAATACAGGTAATTTACAGTCTTGTCGCATATTACACTTACACAGAGAAAGTTTGACAGTGAATAGTCATTTGTTTTTCTCCTCATATGTATTTTCATGATGAGATACTTAATGTCATGACATATTTAAAATAGGTTAGGAGCAGAAGTTGCCCTGGATTTTTTGTTGTGGGGGGGATTTTTTGGGGTTTGGGTTTTTTTTTTTTTTCAGTTGGTTGGGTTTTTTAGCACAAATTGTACTATTAAGTCATTTGAGAAATTAAAAAAAAACAAAAACATGTGAGGTGTAAGTCAATATGTTCTTGTGGGCATGGAGATGCCTAAAATTAGGCTTACTATCCACCTTGATTTCTGGAAAGTAAATTTTTAATGTATTTCTAATGGATCTAGAAGTGATTTCAGTACACTGAAAATTATGCCACTTCTAGATTCTGTCTACCTAAGCAATTATGACTTCATCTTTAAGAATGATCTGTGTATCAGATCCAGGGTGCATAGATCCAAAGGCTTAATACTAAGTCTTTTTATTTTCTTTACATTAAAACATATATTAATTTTATATCTGTAATACAAATGAAGCTATAGACTTTTATTCAGACTGTATTCTTATGTGTAAAAGAGTAGTTGATCTCCTTTAACCTGCATTTTGCATTTGAAGTTCACATATGCCCTGAAGGAAAAATCTACTATGACTGCAGATCTCCTCTGCCTGGGTTACCAGCAGCAGGTGTAAATTGTGGGATCTCCTGTGCGAACCTTGCCATGAACTTCTCCTGTGTCCCCTCACCACCCTGTGCAAGTGGCTGCATTTGTCCCCCTGGGTAAGCTTTGGCAGAACAACCTGGACCACAAGCCATACACATATTTTTCACAGTTTAACTCTGAAGATTTTTTTTTGCTTTTTAAATTCCAGTGGTATCACACCTCTAATTTTGAAGCTATAGTTCTGTAAATAGAACAGTCACAGTTAAAAGGCCAACTCTTTCTTTTGTTTCTGAGATCTATTTTCTTCTTCCTGCTGGTGTGAGGCTCCACGATACAATGCTTTCTCAGTTGGAGTCCCACAGTTTCTCCATCCCGAGACCATAATTCCAATATCCCATGAGATATCCAGCTTGCTACCAGTCCAAATGACTGGTATTTGGGACTGTCTGGACAGGAGGTGAATCCCACCACTTGCACAGTATAGTTCAAGTGTAGAAGCAAACATGACATAAAATCATAATGTAAACTATCTGTGATCCGGCCTACTGCCCGAGTAATCATCTCACCTAGACTTCTACTCAGGCTTATGATATTGATGCCCAAACTGGGGTAGGGAGGGAGGGGGCATGGACTGAATTCTGCCTTCTTTCCCTCTCTGCCCTTCTGAACTTGGCCAAAATTTTTGTTCCCTCAGCTCACATATTTGGATTTGGTGCCCAGAAACAGCCTGCTGAGCATTGCAGGGGTCAAATCAAAGTACAAAAGATAAAAGATTTTGTTGTAAAGTTCCTGTCAGGATCAGTCACCACTCCCTCCATCTCTTCCCATTCCCTTCCCTGGTACCTTCTGTGTGCACCTTCAGATTTGAAGAGTCAAATATGCTGTGAAAATTGCTGCAGTTTGACCTCAGGTGGAGTGTTCCTTCTTTTTTCTCTGCATTTGATTTTATTTCACTGTATGGGTAGCCAATGGTCCCCTGACAATATATTGGTTGTGCCCAGATCGGAGTGTAATGAGACTGCCAGAATTCCCCTTCCAGCCACTTGTGATGCTCACAGATTACTAAGCACTGGTGAAGGACAGATTTCAGGCATCGCTAGTTAAGATTTCACTAGTTGTTCTTGCCTGGTATTCTGTAGTCCTTTACAACCTCTGCCTCAACTGAGGAGTTAGTTTTCAAGATCATTAATGTTACAGAAATACACAATTATTTTTAACACAAAAATGCATGAATCTGTACAAGACATCATATAAAAACTAGTAAATTTTTACTGAAATATAACCATTGTATTTGCACGAACTTAAATTAGCAGCATTGTCATGAAAGTTCATTCGAAAAATTGAAATCATTAAAATAGAATTTGAAAAACAGACCTGAAGCTCTGTTCTCACATGCAAGTAGCATTATGTAATTTCAGATTGAATAAATTGATTATTTTATGAATGACAAACTACAAAAGGGGTACAAACAAGCCAAACCCCAAGGTTCTGTCAAATAGTGGAGTAAAACTGAATAAGAAACACTGAAAGTCTCTGGTATGCTACAAAAATTGAATAGAATACCTGAAAATTTCATGAGGAAATGAGCTGAGAGTGACAGTAAATTCATCACCCAAAGATACACTGAAAGCTACCCTAACACTGAGCTGGAGATACAAGAGAGTAAGTTGAATTACAGAAGTACAGAAGAATAGTATTGAAAAGGACCTCATGGGGCTAAGTTATTCTCCTGCCTTAAGGTAGCATCAGCAATACCTATGTCATTCTTGGCAGTTATTTAACTTCCATTGCCAGAGACTCTAAATTACCTTCTCAAGCCATTCATTCCAGTGCTTTCCTATCTTTAATAATTTTGCTGAACACTTGATTCTTTTACTTAAAACCAATTAATCTTTAATGAACCAGTAATTACGGGAAGAAGACTTTAATCTGTGTATTCCTTTTAACTTCAAGTGAAGCAATCTCAAGATCAAAATTTGTGAACACATTTCTCTGTACTCTCAACTGTGTGTTGCAACGACAACTGAAGGAATTGCTCTCCTAAAGAGCAGCATTGGGAGTGTCAGTACTGTTTTTTTTTTAAGAAAGTTAATGTTGCTAAGCAGATGGAAATGAGGAGACAGCAAAAAGAGGTTAACCACATCTCCGAGTCACTTATTCATGATCTAATCAGACTTGTGGCTCTTTGCATTAAATGGTACTGTTTTGTCTCAACCTTGTTAGCTGTTTCCACTTCCTGGGTGTAGGCAGGTAACCTCCACCATCACTCTTCATCAACTGTGTTTCTTTTGTCCTGCTAGCTCTGCAACAGCTGCCATAGCCCAGCTCAGGACAGGAGGGCTGCTGCTCTGGGCAGAGGAGCAGGCACATCAGTAGTCCATCTGCTTCCCTGAGACAGGAGGACGAGGGAGCAGCAGAGAGAGAAGGGCAGCCCAGCTGTAGCCTCAGCAGCATGCATAACACACAGATGCTCTGCAGTTTGCAGGGAGTAGTACCTACACTACCTACACTCTCGCACAGGAGCTGCTACCCTGTGTCAGCATTCCCACTGTGAGGTAGAAGGAGAGTTGCAGCTGTGAGCTTTGTGAGGTCTCCAGCTGTGCACAGTGGAGATCATTTGATTTGGACAGATTTTGCTGCTGAAACAATTGTCCTTGGATGGATGGAATACCAGTTGCCCTTGTTGGGGTTCAGACAATACAATTCACATTTACTTACATTGATCTACTTGTGAATTTACATTTTCATCTTAATAATTATTTTATTTTGAAGGATGGCTGAACATAGAGGGAAATGTTATATTCCTGACAGTTGTCCATGCACCTGGAAAGACAGGGAATTTCTGTCAGGAGAAGTGATAGCTACACCATGCTATACCTGGTGAGTGACATCCATTCTGCCTACTTCCAAATCATCTGGGTCTATCCACAAAGTGAAACTGATACAAAAAACACATTGAGCACATTGAAAATAAAAAATGTATATGCTTGTTTATAAGACAGTTACAGGATATTTCTTTTATTAGGCTCATTTATAAACTTGGGAGACTGGGCAGACTTTTGTGTTAGTGCTTCTTCAGGTCTGGAAAGGAAGCAGAAGACATTCAAGTTAAAAAACAATCAAGAAAAGATGCTTGATTCCACACATAGCAGTTAATCTCTGAAAGAAAAGACATTTGTCATTTTGGGGAATAGAGTATCGTGAAAGACAACCAAGGAGAAAAAAAAGAGAAATGAAATACATGACAGTGGTAAATAGTCCTTTGGGAACTGGACTGTTAGCAGTGTGAGTTACCACTCATCATGAGCTACTTTACAGGAAGGAGATGGGCAATAAAAAAAATAAAAAGGGAAATAAAAAAGCATTAGAATTGGAAAATGAGGTAGCACCCAGCATTGTTTTTAGGGAGCCTGACCTGACTCATATTGATGAAGAACAGTTTTTCATCCATTATAATTTTATAGCCAAAATATCTATCTTTAGTTAAGTATATATTTACAAATTTAAAAATTTTGGAATTGCAGTTTTTAATCAGTTAAAAACATAATTGTCAAATCAACTGAGCTTATACACTTACACAAGCAAAACTAGAGGCTGTCAGTACTACCTTCATATCAATTCCTCTAAGTCACTGAATGCAGCTGACAGCAAAAGCAATCCTGCAAAATACAAACATTTATTTCTTAAACTCATTCTGTACTTGTCTGGTACCCTGAAATCTTACAGGTAGCAACTGGAGGTCTTTTACATTGAACATGTGCAGTTTACATATCAGAAGATCTATCAACAGTTCTTGAGAAAAAATATAATATTGATGTTTTATGAATGAGCGCATTGTAGCACAGTGTCTCATCTTTACTGGAGGCAGTGATGAACATATTTGCTAAGACATAAAAATATCAAGATTTTGCATTAATTTCTTATGCATTCATATTGTACATATGTACTGATGGAAAAATGCTCAGTATTTTTCTGCCGTGGCATCACCAATAATTTCAGAAGCAATCCACAGAATAGCTCTGTGTTTCAAGGTCTGAGACTGTTCTTCCTTTTATTAATTTTTGTATGACCTGAAATAAAGAACCCAACAAAGCTCTTTCTTGAAAGCAAAAAGAAAATGACCCTGCTATGAGAAGATGCTGACTGTTAATTTTCCTTACAGTGTTTGTCGGAGAGGGATATTCAATTGCACTAGTTACCCCTGTCCTGCTGTATGCACTGTTTATGGAGATCGACATTATTATACCTTTGATGGATTGGAGTATGATTATGTCAGTGACTGCCAAGCTTACCTTCTAAAGGTAGGAGGATTGTTCATACATTTTCATATGCCCAAGTGAAAGTTTACGTGAAAGGGCAGAAGTTTTGAACATCAGGACATGATCTATAGAAATAAACATTAAGTAAACAGGTGTAGAACATGTGTGTCTGAAAGGAAGAATCTGTAAATGACATTTTGTGCTCAGTCATTTGAGAGTGGTACACAGTTGTGTCATTACCTATGTGGTCTAGAGAAAAATAGAAAGCAATGTTTTCTGTTCTACCTTAACTGTGCTTTCATGACAACGAGGGAAGAATAACTATAGAAACTATTCTACAGATAGCTATAATCTATAGATTTATTTAATAATTATCTATAAACTCTGCTTGTCAGAGGGTTAATGAAGACCTCTGAGGCTGCTTGGAATCCTTGAATGTGATCTGCATCAGATCTGGAGTGTATGTGTATAATAATATCAAACACAATGATTTCATAATTCAACTACGAAGTCCTTCATTGAGATTCTCTGGCAGCTACATGCTGATGTTCCTCATAGTACATATTTACAGTACATTGCTAGACTTTTTTGTATAAAAATAACATTACTGACATTTAGGAATATATTCTATTACTAACAACACTATTGTTTATCATTGTTGCTATTATTAAGGCTAAGAGTCTGTCTTCTGAGTTACAGTAATGTGTTTAGCAGAATATTCATTTTCTATCAACTGATTGTCTAACCTTAAGAAAAAGCATGGTTTCTCAACAAGGACTACTGCAAATAGCTTATTTCATGTATGCTTCAGTAGAGTATTCACAGCTGTGAAATAAAATAGGTTGGTTCCACATTTTTCCTGTGTTAAAAAAGTACAAAAAAGAGAGAGTTTGGTAAAGATCATAAATATATATCATAGCAAACTCTGGCATGTACCATATTGTCTCAAAAAAGAGCTCTTACTCTTAGAGGTATATGAACCTTTACACAAACCTTCCTCCTTCAAGATGTAAAAAACAAGTTACTTTACCCGTAAAGTCATCTTACCTTTATAATGAAGTGGAAAGGCGGGTTGTAATTTCTTAATTCTTATGTCATCCAGCCAGAGAGGTGTGTAAGAACATCTGTGCTTCTTTTTCACACTTTAGTATGATACTGGAATGTTTTGCTTTTACAATCAAATGTCACTTACCACTCTACTGTATAAGAAAGTAGCTATCTGGAAACAAACCATGGGGAGCATTTGGAGTCCAAGAATAAAGTTGGTAGCCACATAATTAAGGCATTTGGCACACTGCTAACAGGCCTTTCTACAGGTGAACATGATGACACAGGTGACGAAAGTGCTGCCTGTATAGATCTGCTTTTCAGACTTTTTTCAGCCTTCAAACTGTTTTTTCCCCAAACTTAGCTAATGTGAGAAAGTATGGCCTAATCTATTCATCCTTTTCCTTTCCTCTTCAGCATATGGAAAACTTTCATGATCTATATTGCAGGACTGTTTATCACAAATTAGGCACTGCATAATTATGTCTGGAACAGATGATGTATCTGTGGGCTCATTTTTGACTGTGAAATGTTTGGAGACATCTTAGGAAAAAAAAAAAAAAAAGAAACAAAGGATAGGATCATATGGCAGATGCCCAAGAGCGTTGAGGGAACTAAACACAGAACTGATGAACTATGTGAGGTTCAGTTCTGGAATCAGAGGAATGGGAGATGGCAGTATAACCAAATCCTTTAAAAGGAATCCATGACTGAATTTGGCAGGAACAGACTAGTATTTAAAAGTCTGATTTACATATGAAGGAAATGCATAGAAATTATAATAAAGAGAAATGACAATTGGGGAAGAGTTGAACTCTTTTTGTAAAAGAGATTAATGCATGATGAATCTTCTGAGTTATTCTGTGAAGACAATAAACATATGGATGAGGATGATCAGGGCAACATGTATGTATTTTAGCTTAACGATCTTTTGGAAACAGAGTCCAACAAATATTTTTTAGAGACTAGTCTCTCATAGGATAGGAGTGAAGGTTCTTTGAGACACAAATTAAAAGTTAGAAGTTAAATATATGTATAAATAGCCTTTTTTTTATAATGGAGAAATCATGGTGACATCCCACAGGGATCCATCCTGAGACCTGTGTGCAGCATCTTCAGTAACAATTGTAAAAAGTGTTGCAGTTTGACCTGGCTGGCAGCCAAACACCACACAGCCGCTTGCTCACCCTCCCCCCTCCTGGGGAATGGAGGAGAAAATTAAATGGGTAAAGGGAAAAGAGACTAAAAGAGACTCATGGGTTGAGAATAGCAATTTACTAACTAAGCTACAATAAAATTGAAATTAATAATTATAATAATGATAGTAATAATGATATACAAACATACAAATGGGTGATACACAGTGCCACTGCTCACCACCTGATGACCAAGGCTCGGCCCATTCCCAGCTAATGATCCCGGAGCAGAGAGAGTCCTGAAACCACAATTCTGGAAAAGACATCAGAGCCCGAGGTTTCGAGAACCAACTGAGAGAGACAACCCCAAGAGAGATATCTTCTGGACAGAACCTTATCTATATACTGGGCATGATGTGCATGATATGGAATATACCATTGGCCAGTTTGGGTCTCAATATTAAACCTAAGGTTGAATACTAAACCAGTAATTGTGGGCTATGTGCCCTCCTAGCTTCCTCTGCACCTGCAGACACTGGCACAGCAGAGAAGCTGAGAATTCCTTGACTGTCCTGGCAGCAACTCTAAACATCAGCATGGTATCATCCTTCTTCTCAGCACAAATCCGAAACATAGCCTCATAGTAGCTACTATGAAGAAAGTTAACTCTGTCCCAGCCAAAACCAGGACAAAAAGGTGGTGTGAGGATTGAGGTGGAGTATGCTGGTGGTGAAGAATCAGTCTGAACAGCTGAAACAAAGACAGACCACCAAACGGTTCAGAAGATCTCATGGCAGAAAACACTGCAAGATAAAAAGGAGGCTGAAATTTTACAATGAAATATGCACAGAATATGAACAGAAAAAAATAACTGTAACTATGCTATGATGAAGATAGGCATTAAATTAGCTACTACTACTCTGCAGGAGTGGAATTTTATGTGAGAAAAATATATGAAACAGATGCAATGGCATCTTCCTTGTGGCAGCCAGAGTGATAATCCTAAGTGTCATCTGTTTTCCAACTTCACATACGCTTTTATTTGCATGTACACAGATACACCACAGTTGTACCACGTACTAATGTGGTTAAACTACATTATATGTGCAGATGTCATAGCATGGTGAGGCTGATCTTTTTTGAAATACACTTTATTGTTGCTAGAGCAGAGGTTTCAGTGGCTGTCTCATCATAATCATCCTCCCCTATATCATAGCCACGTGCAGAGACATTTTTTAATAGTAGTATCAGAGTAATACAATGAGCCTCCCTTAAGCTATTCTTTGTTCAGAAGGTATGCAAGAGAGCCCTCTCTCTTATAGCCTGTTATCCAGATAAACAAGCCAGATGAAAGGTGGGAAAGTATATGCAGTTGCAAAAGTTTAAGTGACTTGCCTAACATCTTGGCAGGCACAGCTGTCCAGGACACTCTTACCACCTAAACCATGCTACCTGTTCTACAAACCAACATATATATACTTTTTTTTAAAACTGAAATTGTAGAATCATAGGATGGTTTGGGTTGGAAAGGACCTTTAAAGATCCCCTAGTCCAACTGCTCTGCCATGAAGGGTATGTTCTGTGTGTTTCATGTTCCCTACCTGTAAGGTATTACAGAACATCATAGATTTGATGGTTGGGAGTACACAATCCATTGACTTAATGATCGTTTGCAGTGCTGTTACAAGGCTGATTTTTATGGATAACACGTAAAAGGCTCAGCAAGCACCTGAAATCAAAACAGCTGAAGTGGTTGTAATGTTGTATATAAAACACTGTAATAACTTTGTCCTTTCTCTTTTACTAATATTTTTCCTGTGAGAACTGGACCACTTTGTCTCTGCTATCTTACATACTCTAAACAAAGGTGTTGTAGGAGTACAATAAATTTGTTGGCATGCTGGTTCTCACCAGACATAGAACTGAGTCCAAGAACTATAATTTGAATCCCATGTCCCCAGTGGCATGATAATACACTGTTCCCATCCACGTTACCAGCCCTCACTGTTTGATTTGGCTGTTGGCTGCCCTAAATGTGATCTGTGTGAACAGCTCTTTAATATGTCACTGTATTGCACTGTACCAAACAAAGAATTCATCCTTACCTTTTACTATGTTTTTAATGAGCTTTTGTGCTTTTATGGGAGAAAAATCAACTATCAACTTTCAGCCAATTATGAAACTTCAAATTTTGTTTTCAACATCAGTATCATCTGTCAGGCCTTTTTGATTAAGGTGACAGTAAGTGTATGAAAAAGGCCTTTATAACTAGTTCAACAGACATATCCATTGGTCAGAAAATGATGAAAAAAGATTTAATGCAACAATTAAGAAAATTAGGGCAGCAATGTCTCATGAAATATTAACTGCATCTTCTTCAAGGAATTAGTAGTGACACTACATAATGAGAAGAAAAGTTCCTATATGGATAAATGACATTCAAAGAGAAGACACCAATATTTGCTTCTAACATTTTAAAACCTCAGTAATTTCAAAGGAAAAAAAATAAAAATTTTAGCAGACCAACTAATTTAATTTTTATCGATGTAGATCATGTAAACACTTCATTTTAGCTAATCTGAATATTAATTTAAGCCAACCAATTTTTTAATTAAAAATATTTAAATAGCTTGCTTTCTTCCATTTTCTTGCTTATTTTCTGTCTCTGATGATGCTACATTCTTTCCCTTTTTTAACAAAATGATGTTATTTTTCTAGCAAACTTTTACTGCGTGTTATTTGTGATTGTGGTCTATTTTTTCCCCTCCAGTTTCATAGACTTATGGTCTTATAGTAAAATTACTGTCTTTCTATCACACGTGTTGGCCTTTTTCTAGCTTTGTGTTGGTTTTCAGTCCT